AATATGACAAATGGCCAGTAAAATAGCGATGCACTTGTGTCATGTAAATTTTTACATTGAAGAATAATTTGTATATTGGTTTATCATTATAACGTTATTTTATGTCAATAATAATTTGTATGATATAAGTTTTTCGTTATTCAGAAGAATATTTGGCACATCGGCTCGTATTCTTGGCATACTGAGTTCTCTTCTCGGTGGCTGGCACACACCGTTTTACAGCTCGTTGTTTGTTTGTGACTTTGTCGCTCAGCTGTGCCTTCAGAGTAAGTTTCTTCCCCTTTTCAATACCTCCACTTTCACTTGGGTAGTTTTCATGATTTGACACGTGGCCTTATAAGAAAGACTCACAGCAAAATTATTTACAAATTTGCCTTGAACTTTTATGGGTTATTCCACTTTCGTCCTTGAGACTCTTTATTTGGTATAGAGAATTACAACTTCCTACATTGTTGTTGAGAGGTCCGGATCCTCTTTGTGAGGATCCGGAATCTGTGAATTATGTTTATTCATCGTACATCTACGGTAAGAAATCACTTTAAATATTTTTACATAAAAATAAACATAAACAGTACTTACTAAAAACTAACAGTACTTACTAAAAACTAACTGTACGATATACAATGAACGAACACGATTCACGAATCTCTAGAATCATCATCAGAAGATCTTGTTGGGTTGTTGAGCTCTCATTCCACAAAAATGGGATAAACTCTACAATTCCTCAGGCTCAGGCCCAAGAGGCCCAGGCCCAAACTGGAAGAAGACGTTGTTCGTAATTGGAAGTTGAAACAGCACCGGCGAACTTACAAACCAACCGACGAAGAAGCCTTAATTACAAAGTTACCAACTCCAACACCCCCCAACCTCTCTCTACCAAAAACTACAAATTCCAAATTCGCCGGAGCACGTGACTCGCCGCCCGCGCCGCCCTCTCCCCGGATCTCCGATCACGTGACCTCCGCCCCCACCCGCCCGAGAGAAGAAGAAGGACCCTTCATATTTTCCACTCCATTTCCCTTATCAATTTTTCATGTCAAGGCGCGCGCGAAATCAACGTCTCTGATCGTCCGTTGGATCCGTAGATTTTGTGATTGTCCAGTTCGAATCTGAATCAGGAGCTCAGTTTCCATGGCGACGAGGAATCGGACCTTGGTTTTCAGAAAGTATAGGGATGCGTTGAAGAGCGTCCGCGCTCCCACGAGCTCCTACGCTTCGCCGTCTACGAGCTCCGGTGGCGGTCCGGTCATTGAATTGGTCAGCACTTCGCTTTTGAATCCCAACCGGAATTATGCCCCGCTCAGTACTGAGGATCCCGGCAATTCAAGGTCCCTCCCTTCTCTCTTTCCCTCTCCGTCAATTGGACCGCTCTGTTTAATTTAAGATTTAATTGAAGTGTTTAAGATTTAATTAAGTTAAAGTTTAGCTTGGTTTCATAGATCAATAGTAGAAAAGAAATGAAAGGTTCAGGTAGTGGAGAAAGAAAGAAGCCTAAAACTGAAGTATGCTGAATGCAGATTAGGTCACACTGAATTGGGATATTTAGATACCAAAATTGAAGGCCGGATAGTTGTTTATTTTAGATCAGAGACATTGACGTTTTAGGCGTTCGATGTCGGGTGGATGATCATTGGGTGCAATGCAAATGTACAATTCAGAGCTTGCAGTGATGAACTTTTAGGATTTTGAAAGCTGCGACCACAAAGATGATTCATTGTATAGGAGCGTTATGATTGGTGGGTTTTCATAGTTGAGGTAGTTCTAATATGTTTGCAATGTGAGAACCTGAAATGGTTTGGTCCTCGACCCTGCTATGCAAGAAGGTTGTTGAAAGCCTTTTAGTAAGTTTGGGAATTTTGTAATTACTGAAATTTGTTGTAAGAAATTGGGGGATGAATTTGGTTTCAGGGGAATGTTATCCATTTTTATTCTTACACTGCACAGAAAAAACCAATGCATCGGGTGCAAGTATGGGGTTTTTATCATTTATCTCTCAAATGTGAAAGTCATTGTGTTTCTATTGCTGCAGTCGTGGTGCACTTACTGTTGGTCTACCGCCAGCATGGGTGGATCTATCTGAAGAGATAGCAGCAAATGTGCAGCGTGCACGGGTAAAAATGGCTGAGCTAACTAAGGCTCATGCAAAGGCTTTAATGCCTTCTTTTGGAGACGGTAAAGAAGATCAACGCTTGATTGAGAGTCTTACGCAAGAGATAACTAATTTGATAAGGAAATCCGAGAAGACACTACAGAGACTTTCTGCAGCTGGGCCTTCTGAAGATTCAAATGTTAGAAAAAATGTGCAGGTATGAATTAGAAGTCACCATATATTTTTGCCAGCTCAGTAAAGTAGTTTAGGGTCAGTGGTAATGTCTGGTTTATTCCAGAGTGTTACACTCTTGAGCGGGGCATTATATATAATTCAACTATTTCCAAAGGGCAGTGCTAATGTCTGCATGTTTCTTTTGCAGCGATCTCTTGCCACTGACCTTCAAACCCTCTCAATGGACCTTCGCAAGAAACAGTCAACTTATTTGAAGCGACTCAGGCAGCAAACAGAGGTGCGGAAAGAATTTTACCTTTTAACCATTCAAGTCAGTGGATTGTTATACATCATAGCTTTGGTTCAACATTCTGTTCTTACTTTGGCTTGATAATCTGGTTCATACGTAATATTCCATATACTTTTTGGAACTTGGAATTGTGTTTTCATGCATTCAGTTTGTATACCAAGGGTAACTGTGTGATCTGACATGTTATTGGAAACTAGTTAAACTGTTAGTTATATATTTTCACACATTCCTTTTGTTTTTCTTTTTTGGTGATACAGGGTCAAGATGGGGATGATTTAGAGATGAACCTAAATGGAAGTACATCGAGAATGGATGGTGATGATTTGGATGACATGGTAAGCTTTCTCTCCAGTTCACAACTATTTTCTTAAGATCTTGATGACAAGATCTTGTCAATCATGACAAATATGAGGACACTAAATTCCCTATACCGGTATTTGTAGTGTTGTTGAGTGATCAAATTTTTAAGACACTTTTTACCATCGATGAACATAGTATGATAGTAATACACATATCCTGTCAGATGTTTAATGAGCGTCAGATGGCCAAGATAAAGAAAAACGAGGCAGTCACAGCAGAAAGGGAAAGAGAGATCCAACAGGCAAGTGAAGATCTTTTCGTTTTTTTTCTACATTGACCGGTGTTTGATCATGCATCTTTCACAGTTGACAAATACTCTTTTCTCTTTCCAATAGGTTGTGCAATCTGTGAATGAGCTCGCTCAGATAATGAAGGATTTGGCAGTACTAGTGATAGACCAGGTTAGTATTCATGCCCTGTCGATACTTGATATTTGTCAGAATATCAGTCATTAACTAGATATCTTTCTTCAAACAGGGAACTATTGTTGATAGGATAGACTACAACATCCAGAATGTAGCAAGTACAGTCGATGAGGGCCTCAAGCAATTGCAAAAGGTCCCTTTCTTACATTGATAATTATACTTCATCTATATGTTGTTTTGAGATTCTTTACTGTGTTCTATGGAATATTATGTTTAACGGATGGGGCTTACAGGCTGAGAGAACACAAAAACAAGGGGGAATGGTGATGTGTGCTAGCATACTCGTTATCATGTGCTTTGTCATGTTGGTCCTCCTAATTCTCAAGGAGATATTCTTTTGATCTGCAAGCGAAAGGACAGTTGATTCCAATTCCAGATTTTGGTTTCATACTAGTTGTCATAACCCTCCCTTCGGACTTCTAAATGCGCAAAGATGCTCTCCATAGTAGAAGATTAGACAAGTTTTGGAGTGCCTTAGTTACATATACCACATCAAGTGACTATTTGTGGGTATTACTGTATTAATAGGAAAAGGGAAGGGGAAGGGGAAGGGGTAATGATTCATTGGGGAATGAATGCCCCGGAATTTGTATAGAGGTTAAAATACATGTTCTACATGGGAAGGGCGTTTTGTTTTCGCCAAGGGATATATGTTGATTCTTCCGATTTTCATTTGCCGGGATTTTGTGCTTTCATTCCCCAGAACTCGTGTGTAAGATGAGGCATTTATTTGTTCCATTGTATGTTTGATCGTTCAATAAAGTGAAATACATCAATTTTTAGCACCCAACTTTCTGCATGTACAGCTTATATGTACGGAGTTGATATAGGAAATGATTTTTGCACTCCTCTCCTTCTACGCATCCTTGTTGATTTATGTCCCTAATAATCAATGGTGTGCGGAACGGGAAAATGGTGTGCGACAATCAATTCCTCGAACATTGTGTTGTGGCGCAGCTGAAATGAAGCCTGCAATTCAAGTTGCGGGACTTCCAAATTGAGCCCGACGTGATGGTAGTACAAGCTAGGAATTTTGTGGAGAAGCGGTATTCTAAGCCCTAGTTTGGTACTGAGGTAATTCTGAAAAAAGTTGCTACCAAAAAAAGCTGAGAGTTTTTTTATGTTTGGTAAACATTCAGCTTCAGCTTTTTTTTCATAATTTTGGATGAAAAAAAACCAAAAACACAAAGCTGCAAAACTCAACTTTGAAAAACTAGCTTTTTTCACATCTGTTTTACATAAAAGTTTATCAAACACTATAATACTGCTTTTACCAAACACTTTGCTGCTTATTCTCACAGAATAGTAAAAGCAGTTTTTCTTTTTTTTTTTTTTTTTTTTTTTCAAAAAACAGCAATACTAAACCAGCCCTAAATCCAATCTAAATTGATGTGGAATTCGAACTTTAGCATAGAGGAAGTCAAGATCTACATAGCTTGACCGTCAAATGTCTACAAATCAAACCTTTCATTCCGAGTTTCCTCGCTAAACGTAGATTGACAGAAATAGGTGTTCTAAACAAGCATCCTTCCGTTTCCGCGCAAGATCGACGGGCCGAAAATGTTGTTCCACATGAAATGGGGTTATTTGGTGTATTTACAACAGTTTTTTAAGTAAATCCAATACAGATATAAGGAAATCATTCAATAAATTCTGGGCATAAATTATTAGAAACAACAATGTATTACAGTTACAATGATCAGCTGTTTTCTTTTTCGACCAAACCCTAGCAGGTGCCGTTAGGATCCTCGAGCAATCTACAGCTCCGACTTGAAGCTCTGCGAGAGGAATCCCACGCCACCAGACCATTTTGATTATTGGTTACGAGAATGTATTTCAGTAATGACCAGAAGCATGCCTATCTGGAACCCTTTTTCTTTGCAGTGCCAGCTTCCGACGCTAAGAAAGCTTCTCCAACAAGGCTAGAAAGTGGGAGTTTCAGAATACAAGTCAGCCTTTGTAAAACTGCTGACAGCACTTTCACGTCGGCCATGGCTCTGTGAGCTGTACCATCCAACGGAATCTGGAAGTGCTCACGAAGGGCTTGCAACGATATACTTCTTGAAGATGATCCTGTTCACAAATAAATTCAAAGGCTTAGACATCTCATCAATCACATTCCACAGGCTTGAGCATGAAACCACAAAAACTGACCTTCAGACTTCATTGCTTCACGTCCCAAAGGCATGGTATCCCTGAACAGCCAAGTTGAAGGAATATCTACGGAACAGCGAAGGAATTCACTTCTAATGAAGGGTACATCAAAAGTACGAGCATTGTGAGCAACCAACATTACACAACCTCCCGGTTTTTGACGGCTTTTGACATACTTGACTAAGATTGGTAAGAGGTCCTTGAACCTACATGATATTCACAACAGAAACTCAGTAGAATTTCCTAAAATGTTCACAAGGTTATACTATGTACATGTTACACACACACACACACACACTGTTTCCTAAATCTTTCAAGAAACAAATACACTAGCAAACTTGAGATGCTTTGTACATAACAAATGGTTCTATCATACCTTTGCCGTAGAGTGCTACAAACCAAGGCCTACATGTTGGTTCCGTATGTGTGTGTGTGTGTGTGTGTCGAAGTACAAATATCATGTAAATTTGTACTTCGAAAAGAAAATAATATGCATCGGGTTTACATATGGACCCAGCATGTAGGCCTTGGTTTGTAGCACTCTACTATGTAGCTTGGTACATGTTATGCACACACACACACACATACGCTTTCTAGATAATTTATCCTCAACCCCTAGAAAAGCCCTCATCCAAGCATAGCCTTCAAGTGAAAAATACTGAGATACACGGGTTTATTATTCAGCAAAACCAAAACAGTACCGTGCTTGTGCGCGCACATGCACAAACCAAGAAACTTCAGTGAATTTTCCTCTGCTTGTCATAGTCTAATTGCTCAGCTATCACAGCCCGATTGTAACATTACATATAACTTTAGGAAAACAAATTTAACCCAGCAGGAAAAACCTGGAGCATTTCCAATTAAAAAAAACACTCGGCATGCAACATATTTCTGAATAATTAGGCCTCATATAAACAAAATTGATGGCTTTAGGTACTAGTCGGCTGATTCCTATATGAGAGTAAAAGTTTCTAGAAAGTAAAAAAGCAGTCAGGGAGGATTACCTTGGAACATCAGGCCTGTTGACCATATCGGTTGTAATTCCATGAACATGTGAATTTAGAACACTGCGTTCAGGGTTTACAAGTGTCTGGAAAGTACTGTTTTCACCCCCTTCAAGATCTTGAAATGCAACCTCTATGATTCGATCTTTCTCTCTGCTAAACCCAGTAGTCTCAATATCGAAAACAATAACTGTCACTAAGTCGGCTAAGTCTTTATTCTGAGCAATTGCCTGTCGAAAGTCTAAGGGTTGAGTCTGTTGGTATTGACTTGTTTCCATTTTATTTATATTTAATGCAGCGCTTGTTGAAACCGTTACATCTAAAATTTCACGCCTAAGTTTTATGGGGCTCTTGTTTCTTCCTTCTGTTTTTGTGGTCAGAGATCTTCTAGTCCATTTCCTACTGTTTCCTCCATCAACCGCATAAATTCTGGAATCATGTAGCTTAGGGCTACAATTGTATCCACAAGTCCTGCTCAAATTGGGAAAACCTTCACTCCAAAAATGAGCTAAACTATAAACACTGCATGATCTAGGCAGTTGCGATAAAGATGAAAAGTACATCGACAAAGTTCTCATCTGAACCCAAGAATCAAGAACAGGCAAGATTACACCAGGAGAGTAATTCCCACCATAAAAAACAATTAGCTTTTACCTGAAAATTAAGATGCAAAGAAAAGTGCACTGGTGAAAAACAATGACAATAACCAAAACCAATCAAACTATTACCTCAATAACCGGAGCAGCAAATTAATATGACTCAACCCAGGAAGAAGAACAAGTTTAAGCTTAGATTAGTTATCAAACATTGCATATTTATCAAATCCGAACGCGAAGTAAAGTAGGGATATTAAAAAGACATGAAAAACAAACAAACTTTCATCCTGGCTGTAGGAGTTTCAACACTTTACATCATCAAATCAAACATAGCAAGGAGTCCAACCAATTTCCAGTTTTATCTTAAACAAACAATAAGTGAACGTTCCGTCGGAAAATTGATAGAGAAATTCGAATGCCACTTACAAAAGTTTCATTCTCCACACACACAAAAGTTCCAACACCAGAATTACATTTTATTTGGAACCTGGAAAACCAATTCCACTTCAATGAATTTAATTCAACTATTTTGGAAATATCGTGTAAACTCTTACTCCGAAACTACAATATGACCATAATATTCAAACTTTTATACGTATCCTCATCACATAAAGGATATAACGAATAACCAAAACAAACCCAAATCGAAACATTTATGGCTAACATTTCAAAATTAACATTTTGACAAATTCAAAGCAAGCAGTTGGGAAGGGGAAAGAAGCTCCCTTTAAGCTCATACATAACAAATGAGATTGCAATTCATCGTATTTACGACAAAACAAATCAACCCATATAAGCAAATAATGGAAGCTTACTGATTCATATGCAAAATGGCCTACAAAATCCAGAAAACAATAAGGGTCTACCGAAAATTGCAACAATCTTCCATAAGAACTTTAAAGCAAACAAATGAGAGAGAGAGAGAGAGAGAGAGAGTTACCTGGTATTAGAAATAATTTGAATTGATTAGCAGAAACGTCGAAGATAAAGATTTTGCAGGGAGAGGGAGAGAGAGAAGAGAGAGAAGAGAGAGAGAGAGGTGGGGAAGAAATGGAAAATGAGTCGTGTGGGTGTAGTTATGAAGAACGTGGGCAGGAATTGCGAGTACCGACGGCAATGGCAACACTTGCGGATCGCGTGCTCGATCCGGTTTCTTAGAGAAGTATTGCCTGCCTTGGAAGCTCAAATTGCTCACTGCACCAACCCTTTTTCCAACGATTTTTATCTGCTACTTTTATTTGGATGATTTTATTTATTTATTTATTTATTTTTCTGGAAAGGGATCTCCCTTTCTCCAAATCTATTAAGTTCGAAAATTTGGAACATAAAAATTTGATCAAATGGTTAAAGTTATTATAACTTTTAAAGTAGACCCTTATTTGTAACCTTTAGATCAAATTTCAATGATCCGAATTACTGAACTTGATGGATTAGGAGGAAGAGATTTAAATAGATCCCTTTCCTATTTTGCTGTTTTGGAATTAGGATTTTTGATCCAAAAGTTAAGTAGCTTGTAATATTTATTCTATTGTTTAGTACGGTATCCTCCTCCCCAACCTTGGAACCTGGATCCTCTCCAGATCCCTAAAAACTGAGCCTAAAGATCAAATAATTTGAACCGTTGAAATTTGATCAAACAGCTATAATTATTATAACTTTTAGGGGTCCCCTGTTTATAGCCGTGAGATCAAATTTCAACGGCTCAAATCATTTGATTCTTAGGCTCAGGTTTTGAGGATTCGGATTTCCAACCTTGAATGAAAAAAAAAGAGACTGGTTGTTTTGAATTAAATGTTGGCATTTTAATTTAAAGTATTAATCTGTGTATGGTGAAATTTTATTGTTGTTGTTGAGGAATAATAAGTACAACTCCATTGTTGGGAAATAATTGAAATGTTCGGGATTAAAGTAGCGTCGTTAAAACCTTGCTCAAAGGATAAAAGCTTCGAGCAAAAGAAAAAGAAAATACCGCACCGACTGTCCTACATATAACCTTTGCAATTAAAATGCCAATCATTCATCTGTCCAAAAATACCTTCCTCAAACTCAAGTCAACAGTCACATTCTAGGACAATGAGAGCATTGTATGCCACACAATTCGATACACCAAATGTTATAATACAAGTGGTTAGATATTTGAAAAAAAAATTTCAAACCACTTGTATTATGCAACTTGATGTACCAAACTATGTTCTCAACACATTAAAAATTTTATCCATTATTTGCTGGAGATTGAAATTGTAAAGGGCTTTTAGGCCAAAATTGTCTATGAGATTGACATAATTCCTCACTTTGGTCCATGAGATTTAAAATTGATAGAATTGTTCCCTAAATTTGTCCACCATTAATCACTTTAGTCATTCCATGACAAATTTTTGTTAAATAAGAAAAAAAAATGACAAAAATACTTGAACTTTTGTTTAATCACTGATTGTATTTTTGTCATTTAGTTCTTCTTTAACAGAGATTTTATATAAAAAAATCAAAATTATTACTTTCATCGGTTTTAAATCTTAAAAATCAAAATGAAGAGACATCAATATCAAAAATCATTTTGTCTAAAAGCTAATTGTAAAGCAAGCAAGCGACATGTACCCAAATGTGGTACACATACAAGTGAGGTAATGCCAATTTGGCCATGCAATTTACAAGAACCCCTTTTGAAATTTGCATCCCTTTCTCCATATATTAAGCGGCAAAGCTGTCAATAAGATGACAAATTGAGAGGACATGAGCTAGAATTGGTATCTGCATCTTTGGGCAGCTTTGTAAGACAGGAAAGGCACCTGCCCTGCTGCCCACATATCAAATCTCAGACTTAAATACTTGGGCCATGCAGGAGGGGGCCGTAGGAAGGTAGGGGCTGGCTGGGCATCATGACCCTTCTATTTACAGGCAGCCCTTAAGCTATGGGCATCACTAATTTCAAATGAGACAGGGTAATTCTGTAATGAACACAGTGTAGGGTTAATTAAGGACTAATATTCAGGCTTACATTAATGCCACAGAATTTAAGATGAACGTTCGGTCGAAAGTGATAAGTTTTCTTCATGGTTAATTTATCTTCTATCTTCAACGGATAAAAATAAAGTAGGATTCTCTTCCTTCCTAATCTTTCTCTCCTTCCATCTCCTTCTATTTAAATGGTTGCAATTACGCCACGTCTACATATTGTTTTAAATTTTTTATATAGAAAATAAGATAAAAAGAAGAATGTAAGATGATAAGATGGAAATGGATGGTAATAGGAGATGAGAGAATCATATTCCGATAAAAATTGAGAGGTTGATCTCCATGTATTCCTCCAATATACCTTCATTCTAGTGAAATGTTCAGTGCAATCTAATCGTAAGCACCAAACGTAACTCAAAGGGTCTATTCCCACTATTTTATTTTTGAAACACAAAAAACACATTCGATTAAAACTCTTGAGCTCCGGTACAGTATCTCGATACAAGGCTATACGAAATGATATGTTTAGAGTTCGTCAACTTATTCCTTCCTTTTAAGCTGTAATATACATGATTGATATTTTGTAATGATCCAAAAAAGATAGTGTTCTTCACACACTTATCTTTACCTCTCATGCACGCTTGCCAGTTTTTCTCTATTAATATTTTTCAAAATCCCACAACTAGAAATTAAGAGGAATGTGTAAAAGGTAGCACCGCTGTCCAAAAATCCCTCAAACATCCAAACATGTAATGTGAGTGTATTGTGGCAAAACAAACATCCAGAAAATGGCCAATGGAAAAAAGTAAATAGTGAATTACTCATACCTCCATTAATATGTACAACACAATCAGAGATTGCACCAAAATACAGGATTGTCTTAATTCCCTAAGAAACCATCACCACCCTCTATTTCTTAGACCTTCCCAAGTTCCTTCCTATTCTTTACTTCCCCTAATGAGCAGTAGCAAGGGTATAATAATCCCCCTTAATCTTAATTAGTAAAACTAACTACCAAAAAAAGACCATCCAAAACTATATTTTGACTCCTTGGGGGGCTTCATTCTTTGCTATAATATTATACTCCACAACTTTTTGTTCCCCATTAACCAAAAACAGAGTGAGATGACATGGCCAGCAAGCACACAGCTGCTTGCTCCACCTCTCCCATCTCCCTCCTCCTCTTTTGGTACCTCCTTTTCTTCTGCACTGGTGGTGTGCCTTGCAGGCACACATCCTTCCCAAAAGCCACTAACTTCACCTGCAGTGACTCACTCAAGTCTGTGCGACCACCACTGCCACCAATTTTGGCTTTTCTGGCAGTGGTGCTAGTGGTGGTGGTGGTGGTGGTGGCAGAAGCAGAAGCAGCAGTGTTTGTGGTGGCTGGGGTGGTGATAGTACTGGTGGTGGTGCTGCCATATGGTTTGTCCTTCTTCCACCTCTTTGGTCCCTTGCACAGACTCACAGTAGGAATTTTCTTTCTGTATCTGATCCCACAAGCATTGCACAGTGACTGAAAAAAAAAAAAAAAAAAAACCACACCAAAATCATTAAACCACACAGATGGGTTTTGCCTTGCAAGAACATATATTTTTAGTAATTCACAGCTGCAGATGCATCAAAATTAAGAAGTATGAACAGAGCCAAATGGGGCTTTTTTTTTTTTCTTTTTTTTCAAAAAAAAAAGAAGAAGAATCAAATGGGTTTTGCTTTTGAGAAAAAAAAAGAGAGCAAAACAACTAAACAAGTAACAGTTTGATAACAGAAAAAGTAGTGAAATCATCAAATGGGTGCAGCAAACAGGAAAAAGACAGCTGCAGAATCATAAAATACAACCAATAGTTGGGACCCAAAATATCAATCTCCAAAAACCCAATTGAAAAGAAGCATTTTTTTAAGAAAATTAACATTGTCTGCAGAATCAGGAGGACCCAGCAAACAAAATCAGACCCAGTTCCCAAAATACAACAAAAATCACCTGGGCTTTTGCTCATTGAGCTGAAAAGAAAGATCCAAATGGTTAACGGGAGTCCCAAAAATCAAAACAAAAAAAAGAATGCTGCAGGAGGAAGCATATTATTATGGACAAATGGTAGGGTGGGTGGTTGGGTCGGGTCTGACCTTGGGGCCAGCCGGGCCACTCCTCCACAAGGGCGTCTCAGTGGCTTTGCAGTCAGTGCAGCACTTCTTGTTCTTCACACTCTTCACATTCATATCCTGAATTACCTGTTTTCGAGTCCAAAAATGTCAACAAATTTTAATGAAACCTGAAAAATGACGGAAACCCCAGAAATCAGAAGCAGATGTAGAAACTAAATCAACTACCTTTCTTCTCAGATTCATTTTATCCACAACAAATCCTGAAAATCTCAAAAGAAGATAGGAAGAAAGAGTGAGAGATTTCGGTTAATGGGGTTTTAGGGAAGCCTAATGATCATGGTTCAGAAAGTAGAGAGGGAGAGAGAGAGGGAGAGAGACATGGATTTAAAGCAAAACACAGATCAAAAACCAGAGGAGTGAGAGTGCCATGCATGAGCAAGAGAGAGAGAGTGACAGAGACACAGTGGTGGTCAGGGGGAAGGGTCAGGTGAAATGAGGATTCTCTCCGGATCCTCTTTGTGAAGATCCCGAATCCTTCAATTACATTCGTTCATTGTATATCGTACGATTAGAAATTATTGTAAAATTGTTTTATTTAAAATTAAATATAAATAGTATTTGATAAAAATTAACAGCATAATATACGATAAACGAATATAATTGAAAAATTCTCAAGTGTCAGGTGGATATGATCGTGAAAGAAAAAACCCTGGCCTAGTTGTTCATCGTGGAAATGTCGAAAATATACCCCACTGTGATCCTCTCGTATGATTCGCTTTTATTTCCTGTTGCTTGCTGGTGGCACTGCGTACGGTAGCCAAATTTCAGGCGCAGGGACAGTCACGTGGCAGTTAAAGAATGCGCCTTGTTCCTCTGTATGGGTTTGCAATACACAGAGGAGGATTCTCTACCCTTCTATTTTCATCCCCTTTAATCCTCTCATCTCACACATTATTTTTTGTCTTATTATCTCTATGAAAAAATCAATATAAGATGTTGACATAGTGTAACCGTGACTGTTCAAATAGAAGGGCATAGAAGGGTAGAGAGATTAGGATGGTAGAGAATCCTTCTCCGCAATACACATACCTATACACTATTACAATAATTACATCACCGTGACATAAAACAAATAACGTATTGTCATGAATTTAAACAGTTATAAAAACATAATAATACGTTATCGTAAAAATATCACGGTGGCATGCCAGAGCGTAAATAGTTTTTTCATGATTTTGGTACTTGGGGGACTCAAATGTGATTTTATTTTTGGGTGAACGCATGTTTGAGATCCACTCCGGATCTCTCAATTACTCAATTTTAATTCTACAGCTCTCGTTGGCTCATCTCACTGGCTCACTTCACAAAATCTCAAAATCTTGAACCGCCCAAATCTCTCTCTCTCTCTCTCTCTCTCTCTCTCTCTATATCTTGAACAGTCTGGATCTCTCGATTCGTAAATTCCTGACACAGAGATCTGGAGTGAATCTCATTCCATGCTTTGGTTACTTGATTTTTTGTGGTTTTGAAAACCCAAAAGAATGTGTTTTGTATGGGGAAACTAGAATCTGACGGTTCCTAACATTCTTCTGGTTACCAAAAGATGAAAGTTTCTAAAGTCAGTGGGGTTCAATGGAAACAGCCACGTAACCATTTGGTGCCTTGGTGGTGGTGCTTGAGGATGCATGCGGCCACAGGCTGCGTGTTGTTCTAGACAGTGGAACACTTCTGAGAGTTGACGCTCGAATGTGGCTTGGCAATTGGCATATAGGCAGTTCCAAGAGGGCCGGATTCCTCCTGCTCCTCAGCCTATAGGGTAATCGTAGCCATTTTCAGCTGTTGTTCTCCTTTCAAGGACCCGTCCTTGAAAGGAGAACAACAGCAGGTCCTTGAAAGGGGAACAACAGCTGAAAACATCACTTCATGTTCAACTTGAATGCGTTAAGTAGGCGACCAATGTTTATACTGAGTCGGAATCAAACTCTACACGAGATTCATAATTACATTACTTATAGCTTCCTTGTTCGTATACAAAGATGATTCGAAATCATCTTTCATTCCAAGGTATAACTTGTTCATGTCCATTCGTTAGATGGCCCAGACCCACCAAAAAAAATTGATAGCAGTAAAAGAGAGGGAGATCGAACCCGCATCAAAGTGCATATGCATAATTGCTTTCTGCCAACGCGAGACATGCAACCCCATCATCTAGTTAACATCCACATTTCATTTTTTACTTCATTCCTACCAAATTAATAGGGTTATTATTAAATTTATTTGAAATTTTACCATACAAAATTCCTTGTGTTAACCTTCGGCATTAACATAAGAAGTAGGATTAACATATTAAGTCCAAATGTTTTTCTCGATCATATTAAAATCTTTAGACAACTTTTAATATATAACCAATAAAAAGGTATACCATCCGGCAATATATTTTGACTCCGACCCAACAACAAATCTGGAACCCGAAAACGGGAAGACGAAGATTCAACAACAGACAGAACCATTAGCAAGAACAGAAATCCTTCGACCGTCGACTACCAAAACAGAGTTTGGGAGTTCCAAAACCACCTGTGATCAACTGTAGTAGACATATGAAACCTAAAACAAATGGAAAGACGAGAAACCAACACAAAATCTTGCTTCATGGGATAATTGACTCGACCACCGGAAATAACGACTCCGAAAAAAATAACTCCGGTTCTTTCCTTTAATCTGTGTTGGTGATGTCCCTATGATCAAAGCCCATGGAAGCCTGAACCGATTTAAACCAGCTGGTTCAAACACCTGAGCCAGCCACCCCCGACAACATTCAACCCTACAACAGGACTCGAACATAACATGAAGCTTGACCTGACCTGACCTGACCTGACTGGATTATTGCCTTGCTGAGGAATGTTTCTGCAATTGATACAATATTACAATTTGAAACATCAACAACACCGTCCACATTCCGAAACATGAAATTATGTAATTTGTGAAAGGTGCATCACCTCTAGCCGAAGTTGAATCCACCAGATGGGACACTTGGAACGTCATTCCCTCCAAAGTTGAACGCAGTTGAAGCAGCATCACCTGGTGGCATTGTTTCATCGTCATCCTCCAACCAATATGTCTCGAGCATCTTTACTGCCTTCTCATAAATCTCTGTATTGTCATGACTCTGCAGAGACTCAATTTTCTCCAAACCATCAGCATCTTCAATCGCCTGAGCATAGAGATTCACACCTCCAGTAGTACCCAAGTTCTTCTCAGCTTCACCAACCTTCAAAATGTTCTCCAGGCCTTCTAAACAAACTGTAACAATTCTAGGATCTGGGCAAACAAGAAGATCACACAGCGGCTTGATACACCCTTGACTAACTAGAAACCTGTCACCGAATAGACAAATTAAATCAGTACAGAACAAAGCTTCATACTTTATCGGTAGTAATAAAGCTAACAAGATTTTCTTTGTACTTTATCTGCTCATGAGAACCACCAGATGTAGCATTTGAGATTGCCCATGCAGCCTCTTTCTTTATATCAAACTCAGCATTTTGAAGCAGATTAACAAGAGGGCCGATTATATTAGCCTCAACTACAGCCTGTTAAATCCACCAAGTAATTAGTACATCAGTACCCCAGATGACATACCTGACAGAAACTCTAAATCAAGTTCTACATTTCATGATTGCACGAATGTAAATATTCAAAGAAATGAGAATATCTTTGCATTACCCGGATCTGTTCCTTGTTTCCGGCTGTGATATTTGAAATAGTCCAGCAAGCTTCCTTCTTGATGCTCTTTTTGTAATTGTTAGTCAAAAGATTTAGCAGACAAGGAAGAGCTTGATGTTGGATTATAACCTACGAAGAAACAAAAGCTCATTAATTCCAAATGCAGAACCAGAAATGTTACAATGGCAAAGGGAAAATCTGTCCTTTATTCCATTAAACTTAAAATTCTATTATTTCGTCATTCTCTATAGGGGCAACCATAGAGAAGGAATAACATACTGGGTCACATATCATCTAGAAACATATGGGAAAACAAGACAACCAAAATGCCAAAGAGCAAACAATACCTGAGTTTGCATATCATCTCCAGTAACAATATTTCCAACTGTGCGGAGAGCAGGAATGAGAACTGATGGAGATGGATGCCTGGAACAATGCTTAGAAAAGTCAGAATTTACAGAACATAACAATAAGGGATGAAATACAAACACAGTACTGTAAGCACTCACATTAAAAGCTCAACAAGCCGGGGGCACACTCCAGATTCAATAACGGCTTGGATTTTGTCATTTGTACCATCAGAAAGGTACGAAAGAGCCCAACAAGCATCAGTCAAGACTTCTTCATCGTTTGAATGAATCAAACGCGCAAGAGCGGGAAGGGCAGGCTTAACCTGCAACAAAAATTTTAAAAAATATATCAAACTACCATTCTTAGTATGGACGCAACCTGAATTAACCTGACATTCTTGCCAAAATATTACAGCAGACTGTACCACCAAAGCCATATAACACCTAAGTGACTAGGTTCAGAATCTTTCAACTTAAACATATCTTTAAAACCCTAACCTGATCAAATGGAGGCTGTGGTTTGCCCCTGCAAAAATTTGACAGTGTCCAAGTTGCGTTTCTCAGCATAGAGAGCTTTGCATTCTCATTAAGCTGTGAAAGCAATGGAAGCAAAGCCCCATTACCAAGTACAAGATCACGGCAACTAGGGGAATCACCAGCAACATTTCCCAATGCCCAAACAGCCTGCAAGTTAAAGATGACAAGGGGAAGGAATCAATGACAGTCAACACTACAGTAGATATAAACTAGACAAGAGCAACAAAATAAACCTAACAATTTGGAGCAAAACCCCAACTGATCTTCCCAAAGTTTACCTGCTCACGAACATCGTCACTCGGAGAACTAAGCAGTTTCACAAATATCGGAACAGCTCCCTGACCAATTACCACCTTTGTATTATCAGATGTCCCAGATGCAATATTTGTAAGAGCCCAAGCAGCCTCAAACTGCAGGAAATTGTATGCAACATTTTTTAGCAGACATAAATAAGAACATAATCAATAACTAAACATTAAAAAAGAAAGTATCATACCTGAAGTTGTGGAAAATCCTCCCTCATTAGAAACTCAACAAAGCGAGGAACGACACCCGCTTGTATGACTTCCTCAATCGGAGGGCTACGTTCTAGCATGTAGGAAAAAAAATCACTAGGCAAGTACAGTCTGCTGTATGAAGGGAAAAAATTGTACAGCCCCAAACGTCTACTCACCAATTGAAAGCAACTTCCTAAACTGGGTTGTTGCCTCAAGCTGCATAGTGCCCTCATCACCCCAAACACCAGCAACCATGGATGGTAGATGCTCTAGCTGTATCAAGAAATATTCAACCACTATTAATATTATCTCCAACACGATGTCAAAACTACCAAAACTTAAAGCATAATTAACATGTTTTACAGGAAAAAAATATATGCATCGATTTTCCTTCATTTCAAACTCTAGAAGTTTTTTTTTACGTGGAACTGCACTAATCAGTACGCAGCCACAAACACGGAACAATAACCTAAGCACAGCTCCGCGACTTGAAAATTGAAACATTCGGAATCCTAAAAAATATTTAAAACTAAGGCAGGACTTGACAAAACAGCAACAAAACAACAGTGATACTAAAGTCTACTAAATAGAAAACACTCACATCCCCAAATGAACAAAATAACTAAGTAGAGTAGGAATTCAGCATGCATCTAACAACCGCTCAAAGGATTAAAACTATTTCTGCGCCGATCATGAACTCAATGATAGCCTACCCACAACTCCTACGCCGATCATATGCATAAAAGTAGCTTCCATTTCAGCTAAACAACGGAATTAAAATTGAATGTAATTGATAATCACAGTAACCAATTAATCAATCCAATCCTAATCCAATAAAACAAAAAGTCACCAAACGCACACATTCATCTTAATCAGTAAAATCCCAATTTAACAACCCCTACAAATCAAGTCAACCAAACCCCCAAATCACCCCAAAATCAAACATTAGGTTTTACCTTCTTATCCAGACCGGCGGAGTGAAGACTGGAGGGCAATTGCTGGGTTTGAATCCCCTCGCGGCGCTTCTTCTGGAGGCTCTCTTCTCTGCGGTTCTTCCTGATCTCCACCATATTGTCCTCCCTCCGACGCCGCCCCTCCTCCGCGTCCACAGCCACCTTGTACCTGTTCCGGCGGACCTCCGCCCTCGCGTTCGGCCTCAACGACATCGTTTCAATCCAAATTAAGAATCCGAAACCCTAGAAGAGAGAGAGAGTGAAGGGGTTTTAGCGAGCAGAGGAGAGAGAAAGAAGAGAGAGAGAGAGTTGGGGAGTTTGGGAGTGGGGTTTGTGTTTATTTCCTATATTTTTCAAGTGAGGGAGGGATTAGAACATCCAGATGGACATGATTTTTATAGCGTAAGCGGAGGAGTGCGAGGGGGATGGGGTTTTGGGCTCGGATCGGCAGGTAATTACGGAGATTGCCACTTGGTTTGAATTTGAAGATGAGGGAAATACTGTCGCTTTCCTTGGTCTTGGTTCGATTGTTCGACGAAGGAAAACGGTTTTTTTCCCATCAAAACCGGCCCCAAACCGGTTCGCTGAGAGTTCTATTTATTTGACGCAACCCACAAAAATGTCTTGATGTCGACCGTTTGATTATTGTCAATTGATTTTATAGTATAATTTTAACTTCCTTTAGTTCATTTTTCGAGACAAATACACATAAAACAATAGTAGTAAGATAATTATTTTTGTAGAAGTAAAAATGTAAGCAGACGCTAAATTCACATGACAGCGAAATGTAATTCAAAGTGTACAGAAAAGAATTAAATTGTTGGGCTAATTTAAGAAAACCAAAAAGAATATGAGAACGACTGAGGTGGCTGACTTTCTTTGAAATTTCTTATAAGGTTAGAATTGTTTTATATGAAAAAATAATTTAATATTTTAAAAACAATAAAAAAAATCACTTACAAGGAAAATAAATAGACGTCATGGGCTTCTCCAAAACGAAGTTTATTGGTCCCGCCAATATGCCCAGGAAAAAAAGGCCCTTAAACAAGCCCAAATCAAATCGAGTAAACTATTATTGATCCACCATACTTTAGGTAAATTATGGGCCTAATAAATACTTTTACACAATTTTTGGATCAACATCTCGCACATGACTTCCTTAAGAATTTGAGAGTTTTAACGAAACACTCATAGTACTATTCACTTTTAATGAAAAACAATATTTTTATTTTTCTGATACTATTCACTACACCTTTATTTGTCATTTTTCATTAAAACTAAAGTTTTTTTCGACTTTTCGTTAGTTTTCCTTATGAATTTTCTATCATTTATATCTTTTAATAAAAATTTCTTTCTATTCTCAAAGAAATTTTTTCATGTTTTATTTCATCTTTTTGTATTTAAAATCAAGGAGTTTCGAACCCAAAAATATAGGGATGCAGATAGGTACCTAGTCACCACAACATGTTTCATTGAATTTATTTTCTATTGTGTAATCAATTTACACACAATAAAAAATAAAATATAAAAGAAAATACAACAACCAAAATTTTAGACCTTATAAGGGCCTCCATTTGAATCTTGCGTAGGGCTCCCAAAATCTCAAAGTCGGCTCTGCTCTTGATATAAACTGATTCTAACTGTAAGAAAGGGTTAATATTTACAAAGAGCTTCTAACTCAAAATATTTAACAACATTTACTCATGCACCTAAAATCCTAAGTTATTTTACCTTTTCTCAATATCGCAACTCAAAATAAGTTACCCATAATGATTAGTATTGATTCTATCGAACTTGCCATGAAAGTGAATTAAACTCAAAATCTCTCACTTATAAGTATAGAAAAGTATCATTAGCAAATCTAGCACACTATATTTTGTATGGTCTAATAAGAACCAAAGGCAATCTCAAACCTACAACAACCACACTTGTGCCAAACAAATATCTCTATTGATCGCCTAGCTAGCGACTGTGGGACTTGGACTTGTGTGTGGTTGTACAACCATGGGTTCAGAGTGTTGGGCACAAGAGTTTCTCGTCATTTTTTTTTTTCTGGATTAGCTCCTTAATGAACAAAAAACAAGGTTCAAAAAAGATGTTGATCGGGCAACAAGTAGAGGCCTAGACTAAGTTTCCAGGTGAGGATTAGGGAGTTATTTTTTTCTTTCTTTTGGGTAATATAATTAAATTAAATTAATTATACATCATATAAATGTGTGCTTATACACAAAAAAAAAATAATAATAATAATAATTATATTGAAATACATAAATTATAATAAAATGACACATAATTATAAAGAATTAAAACACATTTTCTATAAGAGCTGCGACTTAAGTAGAATGTCTAAACGTGGCTAGTCGAGTCTCTAAGCACATCTAGACCCATTCATTAATTCTCAAACGTCTTAAATTAATAAAATTGACAACTGACTAGCGCCTAAACAAGACCTATCACATTGACCGACGTCTTACAATTGTAACACATCTAATCTAAAAAGGCCAATTTAATTAACGCACAAGAGAAGAAACCAGTAAAAGGCAGACGTCAATGTCAACCAACTACATCGAATTACCAATCGCAGTAAACTACAAACAGAAACCATCGAAAGGAATAAAGGAGAATTATTTAATTACCAAATCCACCAACTAACACGAGTCACCACCCACAAACTGGATTTAACCCCCTTAACCTCCAATCACCTCTTAATCCGGGAATTAAGGATTAAATAAAAGTTTAATCCAGTCCAAATTAAAAACGAAAATTAAAATAAAACACAATTGGGTGGGGGATTTTTGAATAAACAACATTTCCTTCACATGATCCGCTGCATCGCGCTAGCAGCGAGACTTGGCACCTCTCGACGCACCTACACGTGGCTTCTTGCTCGCCGTCGGATCCATGTCGCCGAAGTCGAATCCCATCATCCCATCTCCGCCAACCATGTCGTTGAACATCCTCTGGAGGTCTTCCAAACTGTCCCCCTGAATAATCAAAATTGTAATTAGATCCCCCCGAAAAGCATTAATCGCGTTTAAGGAAAGTTGAATGACAAAATTACCACATTCTCCTTACCTGGTCTTTCACGTTGTTCATCATGGACAGCATTTCACCCATGAAATTGCAAAATTCCTGCCGACAAAAGTACAAAAATTCAGGGACATGAAAGGAAACCCAAAAACACTGACGCCATTTTTTTTTTAACGCGCATTCTGTACGGTAAATAATTTTTTAACGCACCTGGTCTTCTTCTTCGAGGGGGTCGTAGAGCCCGGCGTCGTACATCGACCGCTTTGCCTGATCCGAGAGAACTGCGGACAACTAAAACGGCGTCGTTAGCGCGAGAAATTCTAGGCTATTAGGCTTTTTTAACTAACGACGTCGTATGAACGTAAATTCATAACGTTACCGGAGTAAGCCTCTTGGACTTGCTGAAACCGCCGCTTGGCTTCTCCCGCCGCCGTTTGACTTCGCGCCCTATCCGGATGCCATTTCTTCAAATAAAATGAAAAAATAAATAAAATTCACAAGATCAAATTATACCCAAGAAAATTTCCGAAATTAAGCTTTTGTTAGCTTTGATTTGCAGAAAACGGAGGACCCAGAAGATGAATGAGAATGAAAACGGCGGCGTTTGGTGAAAGGGAATTACCAGAGCGAGCTTGCGGTAAGCTGTGCGGATATCAGAGAAGGAGGCATCCCTGCGGATCCCGAGGACGGCGTAGTAGGAAGATCCGCCGTTGGATCCTCCTTCTCTGTCCATCACTCCACACACCCACAAAAACCCTCAACCCACCCAACAAATCAAAAAATCAAAAGATCAAAACAGAGCCTTCAAAATTCAATGCCGAAGAGCTCCAAGAACTGAAAAGCTTCCCGGAGATAAGAAGAAGAAAAAGAGGGAGGCTCTGTGCGTTTCTCTGTGATTTTTTTTTTGGGTGGTCACGTTTGTTTAGAGACGGAGAAAATATCTTGGTTACAGATACGGGGGAGGAAGGTTCGAGAATTTATTTTCATGTGTACGAAAATTGACTCCGTCTGCCGTGCGGCTAGATATTTTCTTCATAATATTCAGAAAAGGGCGTGAAGTTAACTTGAATTACGGCGCTCTGCCATTGGGCTTTGTTTGAAGGTCCAGGCATGTCGGGTTCTCAATTGTGGGATTCTTATGCCTATTTGAAGATGGAATTGGCCCATATTTACTTTCAGATGATGAAAAGCGTTTTTGACGATGCTGGACAACAAAAATATTGCTAATAAAAATGCGTAACGAACAAAAGTTTCATTAGTTTGATCAATGTATTGTACGTTTGCTTTTGCATTTCGCTTGCGTATCTACTTATACTAGCATCTGAAATCATTATGCCTATTCCTTAACAAGCTATTGCACTTCACATGTCATCATCAGTCTGATTCATTAACTCCTGTCTTTTACACTTCACTTCCGCACTTATTGAGTTAGCATCTTAAATTAGTATCGCCCCGCTTCCTTTAACATAGTAGTACACACCATATTATGCTGTTATAGTCAAATAGATTTATTATGATCACAAAAATCTACGCAATTCCTTGCAGTGAAAGTAGCAGCTAAGTAAAATACATAAAGCAGTAATTTTTATTCTATATTTCTTTTCAAAAACCAAGTTTTACATAGATCAGTTTGACACTATGTGGTGTACACTATGATCAACTAACTGCAGAAAAGTAGAACCTACGAACTACTAAGCTTAGCACATCTCGGACTACGAGATATTTTTACCCCTTTTACCTCTAGGTAATTGCTTGCTTTCTAAAGCTAGTAAATAGTAATTAACAAACTAAAACAGAGAACATGAAACTACATTTCTTCTAGTAGTTCAGATACATGGGAGGCCTTGCCATTCTTCTAGCACTCACATGCTTCCTAACGGAAACCCACCATTTAATGGCGGCACGAAGCTTGCACCAGCATGCCTTGGGTTTCCGTCTAGTCCCTGCGTTATGTACAAAAGCGGGAAGAGGGAAATGTGCGGCTTCTGCTTCACTACCTGAAGTGAAGTAGAAGCCGCCTGTTTGTCCCCATATTGGGTTTGCAGGAGACCAAGTTGATGCTTGGACCTGGAAAAGGTTTTCTGTCCCTAAATGACCGGTTGGGAGATTTGGCGCTTGGAAAACACCGAGAGACGGCCAACTGCTTTCTTCATTGTAGATGACGGAGTTAAAGTCCTCCATCGAAAAGCTGTTGCTTCGGAGTTGCATTGGTTGGCTTTGTGCTAGAGAAACCATTAACTGATTGCTGCTGCCTTCTGCTTGGTAGGCACATGAGGTTGAAGCTGATCCATGGTTGAAACCTAGTTGTATTGGGAGTTCATCTGTGAAAAATTACTTGGTTTTTAGTTACTTGGAAAAGCACACGTAAGGCAGAACATGCCATAATGTTAAGATTTCAGAGAGACGGACCAACAGATACTACTAATCAACGACAATACCATCCCTAAGCTGCATTTTATTTTATCAGGTTTCCGATGTGGGACTTTACATTCGTCACCGTATTATACCTTATGCACAAAGTAACATTTACCTTGATGTGTGAACTGAAATTGAATTTGTTGCAGATCAGGGTTTGGACTGGTGAATTGCTCAGCTTGTGGACATGGCAAGGGCCTCGAAAGGCCAAATATAGTTGAAGAATCGACAGGGATCAAATCTCTTACATTTTGATAAGCATGCTGCTTCAGAGTTTCCACCAGCATCTGTAAACATAACCAGGGAGCTCATCAGTTTCTTTACCCCCAAGGAATATTCTAAAGTTTGCTCCATCAGTCATGCAACAATTCTTTGTCTTCGGAACCAAGTTATAGCAACCGAAAAATGAAGGCAGATCAAGAACACGCGTGGGAGATTAGAAAATGCAAAGGAGCTCGAAAATGCATAGTACGCGTACCTTCTGATGCGCGTCGAGTTCATCCAGAGAACAGAACTGGCCATTGATTATTGCCCCTTCAAGCCTGTGGATGGAATTGAACATGAGACTTACATCGTGCTCAGCTCTACGATAGGCATAGCACTTATGGTCATCCAACTTACAGGTCATAGCATGCTCTATGATTGTTTCCCATATCTTGTTCGAGATCCCACCGAAAGCCTACATTTTCGCAGCAGAAAATTAGACAGATATAGATTAAACTACGGGCATAAACTACAGTAGGCACACTGCTCAGCAGAACAAATGATTCTCTTACATTTCGTAGTGAGGATACATCTCTCATGTACAACTGCAGGAACTCCTCCACTGTGCTGATTCCATTCTCGCACAGTCTCTTATGGAAGGCTCCGTCTTTCGCTATCTTTTCCAGGCGCCATATTTCGTCGTTTAGGTTTGGAGGGTAGTGCTTCTTATACACTGAATCAACATTTTCTATGTCAGTTTCATTTAGTTCAATGCCAAAATTGTCTATATTTTAGTAAAGATCAAAGAGTAGTGAGTTAAGTTTTCGTGAACTTACATTCTCCACGGTGATCTTTAACCACAAACGGTTCACTTCTAGCTTCTCTAATTCGTACTTCACTCGAAGATTTGGCCACAGCTCGAGCTGCTAGTCTGAACTTTCGGCTTCTTATCCAGCTCGAGTTGTCAGTAAACATAACATCACCAACAGAACCAACTCCCTCTCTTAGTGTAACATGTATCTCGCCCGTCACTAATGGCCTCTTGCCATCCCTTGCGCGAACAATGTAGTTGTTGAATTCTCGTTCGGTCCAATCCTCTTGATCATCAGACCCGAACTCACCATTCACGACAAGAAGTTCAAGCTTCAGCAAAGATAGGGGACCGGAACGGACTATAGCACCGGTACTGGCATCGACTAGTTCAATTTGAAGAGGCTCGCCATTCTCTGCTTCCACCCTACCGCCTGTGAATATGGTTCCTGCCAGCTTGTTGACAAAACGCAACTGCAAGCCACTTCCTCCAGAAGTACTCCCACTTTCCAGCGACGGCCTGGATACGCTGCGTGTTTATCATGTAGATTATATCAGCAATTGGAATCTTTGATGACTAAGAAAAATTTATAAGACCTTCGTTATTTCATAGAAAACAAACATTTGATCTAAAAGATAACCTTGGAGATGACATGAGGAAGGGAAGAATACCGCGCTCCACCTCCTCTCGCACCTACACACGACAAAGATACATGAACAATGAACTCAAGAAACCTCACCAGGAAACGATTTCGAACAAATTCAAGTTCTAAATGTTAAAAAACAGCGTTTAAACAGGAAAACATGTGTTCTTGTTTTCTATCACAAGAGGGCTAATGAAACCAAACCTAACAGTCAATCCTAGTTTTCATCTTAGCAGCTACTCAACCCGTCTTCTTAATCAAAGTCATTAAAATCGAGGAAACAAAGCAAAATCAAACCTTAAACCTCTGTTACTGCAGAATTATACACAAAAACTACGACGGAATGCTTTCTTAAGCCTCAAGCTTGAGCTCAGATTCATTCGTGCAGACAAGAACGGAGATTTGGACTTACAATTCTCCGTAAGAAGCTTTCCCACTCGCGTTCATTCAGCGTGGCATCTCTCATCACATCCCTAACAACACTGCACAAGCAGCATCACAAAAACCCGAAAGTCAAAAAAACGAATTCAATCAACCAAAAAGCACCAAACTTTCACTCAAACTAAACCACTCACTTCCTAAAAGTAGGCCTCCTTTTGGATTCTGGAACCGGAAACTCGAAGTCCTCGCTTCCCCGGTCGCGAAAATGCCTCTTGGGGACCATCAAAAACCCGCCCGAAAACAGCAGCTAGCAGCTAGTTTAATTTAGTTGAGTATCTGAAAAGCACACAAGATTTCGAACAGCAGCTAGCTTCTGTGTCCTTAAATATATAATCTTGGTTTGACCTTTTGATTGCAGAAGGTACAAGGAAGGTTCTTCGTACAAACCATAAACACGCCAAACCTTGAAAGTCAAGGCAAAGATTAGCTCACGCTCTAAACTAACAAGAACCCAACATTTGAATTAGGATATTATTAATTTTAGGTAGCACCAAAGTTGCATCGACTTTTATGTTAGGTTTGATCGATGACTGTCTGTATTGTTTTGTCTCATTTTTTTTTAAGGAAAAAGAGAAAAGAACAAATATTTTCAAGATTCTCAGGCATTGGAATTTCAGCTAGATGACTAATCAAACGCGTCCTGATTGAAAAGTACTAAAAAAATCACAGTATATTCCAATAGATCCAGGACAGAAAGCTCCGTGTGTGTGTGTGACCGGATTTAGAGAGAGGAGAGATTTTTCCGTGTTCATGAAACACGACCCGGTACATTTTTCAAGTGTCCCTCCTGTAGAAAGTTGGGGGAAACAGGTGATGTGGAGCACGTGTACGTGTAATCATTGAATTTCACATGTGGTTCAACCTACTTTAATATTATGAAGAAAATTAGGGTTTTTACATAAAAATAATTTGCAATATAAGGAGTAACCAATTTCTTATAAACTCTTGAATGGTCTGGTCTCTCGCCGACATGAGACTTTGTCCTCACATTCTCACACCTCCAATTGTATTATGACGTATGATGTTCCGGATCCTATTCTAGATACATTGAAAAATTTCTCGAAAGAGTGAGAGCGAGTTCACGTGGATAGAGACAAAACAAAGAACAAAGCGTGTTTAGAGTACTATTAGATGGTACGAAGGTTGAAAGAAGTTGCAGAAATTACAAATTTTCCATAAGTACGCGTTTGTTTATCATTCTTAATGGTGATGGAAGCAAGATGTGGCACTTTAAGCAGAACCCCATTTCTCAGAATTTGACCTGAAATTTCATGTCAACTTCGACGCAACACCCGCAAGATAGAACTACGCGCTGATACATCGATAACATGTCAACAAGTCGCGTTAAACAAATATTTGTCAATGTTATTGATAACTTATCGAAACCATGTCTAACAACTTGAAATTATAATTATCTGCATGCAGCTTCCACTAACTTCAGTATGTCACAATCTTTGTCTGTCCACATGTGAAGGGTTGATTTTTATTGCGAGCAGAAAGCAGAAAAGAGAAGCAAAAGATTATAAAAAACTGAGTCTTCGAGTGAGACTGTTGAGGCTTGAAGGGTTGTTCACTTGATTGACTTGGTGGTTGGTGGAGTTTGCACGATGCAGGTTCTGCGAAACTTTCCGGGAATCTGGTTTTCCGGGAAAGTTCTGGGAATGTATGTGGAGCTGGAGCCGGAGACTTACCTTTCCCCAAGTCGTCCCCGGACCCAGGAAGACTTTTATATGTACTGTTCTGAGTTCTTTGCAATCAAAGTATCAATTTTGACTAACCACTTTTTAATCCACCTTTTTAATGCTCCTAATCACAAGAAGTTATGTAACTGATTTGATACTTTTGAATAATCAAATTTATAATTAACAAACTCAAATATTCTAAAAGAATATGATATAAAAAAACATTCTAAAAGAAAGATAATATAAAAAAAAGAAAAATCAAATATAACAAGTTAGTTAGAGCAATGTGCGTAGTTTTACACTAAAATTCAAATTTTCTTTATCATCATAGTAGACTATAGTAATGTAGTTATTATTTGTCACAAAACAAATCAAATATAAAAAAACGTTTATTTAGAAGTATTTTTAAAATAACTAAAAACGTTTTTAGAGGAAATGTTTCTGAATTCATAAGGCATATGATCACTTGAAGTGATCACGTGCTGTTTCAAGATTCGCTTTCATTTTTAGTAAGGATTGATTCTAAAAAATATTTTCACTAAAAACTCTTTTAATCATTTTAAAAGTTATTTTGGAAGTGTTTTTAAAATAACTGAAATCGCTTAAAAATATTTTAAAAACCAATCTTGAATTAAAATGCAAGTGAATCCTTAAAAAATCACTTAAAACTTAAAAGTGTTTCCTGTAACATCAGTTATGTGTTTCATGCATGAAACATTTAAGTGTTTTTAAAACCTAAAAACATTTTTGCTAAAAGCACTTTCATTCATTTTAAAAGTATTTCTAAATGAGTTATAAAAGCACTTTGAAACAAGCTTAAAGATTATTGTGTGGTTTAACATTTAATTATCAAAATTAATCAAATGTTGTTAGCCAAAACTCAGAAGACATATCAAATCATGAAGAAAATAAAAATCCACTAGCTTCAATATTACTTCAAAAAAAGAGCTTCAGAAAAATAGAGTTTAAAACCAAAACAAACAAAAAAGGAAGAAGCTTTTCTCAGTTCGTACCTGTACAAATTTTCCCACCAAATTGAAAACCCAGATACCAATTGCTACCAACAGCAATGGCGTCTCCTACGCCGGACGCAGCGACCCTTTTAACCCTCTTGGCAGCCATTGACATGGGCACCAACTCCTTCAAGCTGCTCATAGTCCGAGCATACCCAGACGGCAAATTCTTCACCATCGACCAATTCAAAGAGCCGGTGGTTCTCGGCCGCGACACCACCTCATCGTCATCAACACCAACCCCTTTTGCCCTCTCGCACCACTCCCACCTCCTTGCTCTCGAATCCCTAAAAAAGTTTCAGAAAATCCTGAAATCCTACAAAATCAGCAAAACCCCGTCCGCTGCGTCGCGAACGCTGCCGTGCGAGAAGCCCTGAACCAAGCTGAGTTATTGGAATGCGTGAGGGAGGCGGTGGGTTTGGAGGTCGATGTGCTGCCCGGTGAGGAGGAAGCTCGGCTGGTTTATCTGGGTATGCTTTAGTTTCTGCCGATATATGAGAAATTGGTGCTGGGTGTGGATATCGGAGGTGGGTCTACTGAGTTCGTGATTGGAAAGGAAGGAAATGTCGTTTTGGGGGCTTCGTTGAAGCTGGGGCATGTTAATTTGACCCAAAAGTTTGGGGGCAGTGAAGGGAATGCTGAAATTATGAGGGACCATATCAGGTTGGTGATTCAGGAATCTGGGTTGGTTGAAAAGATTCAATCTTGCGGCTTTGAAGTCGTTGTGGGGTCTTCCGGTACGATCAAGGCTGTTGAGAAGGCGGTCCCTTTGGGGTATAGCAATGTGAGCAATATGCTGCAGGTGAGCAATTTGGTTTCTTTTGGGGATGGCATGAGGGCTTGGAAGCTGAGCAGAGGAGAGGTGAAGGGTGTTGTGGGGAGTTTGTGCGGCGGAGGAGAGCCAGAGAGGGTTAGGAAGGAGAAGTTTTTTAAAAGGCCGTCGGAGTTTATGGTTTCAGGGGCAGTGCTGTTGGAGGAGACATTTGAGGTGCTTGGAATTGAGGAGATGGAGGTTTCTGGTTATGCATTGGCAGAAGGGGTTGTTGCAGAGAGTTTGGCAAAGGGTAGTGGGGGTTAAGATTTGAATGCCAATAGAAATGGTCGTCTGTTGTGCGGCTTACGATGAGATTTAATGGCAAGAAGATGATGAGGGCTGCTGCACAGTGTGCTGGCATTGCTAAGGTATATTCAAATTGAATTGAGTATCTTGTTTCCTAACGTACGTTTGTGAGATAGACAGAAACTAGTTCAGGATAAATTTATTGATGCTTGATACCAACTTAAATTTAGTGTAAGGATCAGTCAAAATGTAGTGTGATGTTGGGGATATTTATGTATTCTATTGTATATTCTTCATTAAATTGGGTATGGAGAAGAATTGTATTGCGACGTCCAGTGTTTTTGAGTAGATGTTTTTGCAGGAAACGTTTGAAGCTTTGAGAAAATGTGATCACCTTACTAACATTCAAGTTGCTGCCTCCGTTGACGCCAAGGATCTTGAATATCTTGAAGCTGCATGAGTGCTCCACAATATTGGGATTTCCGTGGGCAAAAAGGGTTACGATAAGCATTCTTATTCTATCATAACAGTAATGATTTTCCCTCTTCCTAATTCATTTACTGTGCATTGAAAATAAAACTTCAAGTTTACTTATTGATCTTAATCTTGATGAGCTAAATTGTTTGTATAGAACGGCAATCATCTTCATGGTTATGGTACTGAGGAGGTCAAGCCGTCAAGGTATGTCAAGTGTTTATTTGTGTGCTATGTCTTGGTGCATACTCTGTATTCTCTACAGTGATGATCAATTAGTGAATCTGCAGCTGATAGCTCTACTTCCAAAACACCACATGAAGAACTTACCAAACTTTTACCATGTATCCTTCAAGGAGTTTCCAGAACAGGTAGCATTTTATCTGAATATATACAATACTATGACAACTACAATCATTTGTGTTTTTATGTTTATTTTTGCGTTCTTTCTCTTTTCTGTCAGGTCAAAAAGAAATTCAGGTTTCTATGTGCAATTATCTGTACATCTGCTGCACCACAACAACATCGACTCATAGGTTTCCAACATATGGAGATCTCTCATTCTCAAGAAGGTTTTAGACTGGTAATCTCCAATATGGTTTTCAATTGAATTTTTCTCGAATAAAATTGGAGGTTTTTTTCTTTGCATTTGTAGAATGTTTTTTTAAAACTACACAGGAATCGAACATATCCTGTACTATTAACTTTGCTGTAGTATTTGTGTTGTTCTTTTAAAGAAAATTATCATATTTGTATACAACTTCTTGTGCTGAATGAGTAAAGAAGGCCTTGGTTTTCAATTGATGGTGTGAAGCAGAACCTTGAACTTTCATCTTAGATTCTGCAGCTAAGCACACGATTAGATTGGTGAGAATATCGCAGTGGTATGGTTGTCAACATAGCAATGCATTTTAATTAATTATCACATACGCCTGCTCGGTCTGTATGCTTTTCATTACCACAGAATGTGCAGACACTGCAGAGGCTCTAAGACGTGATACCAAAGATTTCATCTTATGGCTTATCGATTAACTTAAACCTTGAATGCTGCTTAATGTGATTAACTAAAGCAATTTCTTTTCTTGAGTTTGGCTAACTGTAGCATTGACCTTGGGATTGTTTTCAGACATGCAGTAGCGTAAAAGATCAAAATTATCCACCTGGCATTGTCCAGACTCTAGCTGAGGATATTGGAGATGAACTAAGGCAAGAGTTAGCGCACTTTAAAATGGTAATTTTCTTAATCTTCCCGTTTATATTAAAATTTTCAAATCGGAATGAAAGGGGTCCCTCATGTTCAGCTGGTCCCATAGAAGCCAAAGCCTTCAGCTTTCTGTAAAATACTCGTTTGGGTGAGGGCTTAGGATTGCCTGTTTTTAATTCCGGGGTTTCTCTGAATTTGAAAAGTTCTCAATCCTGGCTCAGGACGAATGCTGGCGGCATGCTTAACACATGCAATATTTTCATAACAGATGGACTTGTTTTTGTTGGCTTCAGGTATTCCAGGAAGAATTGTACATTGTCGTTCCTTCAAGTGCTTCAGAATGATTGAGAGAGAAATGTATCGGCAGAAATGGTGTTTCGTGATGTCCTGAGAAGGTTCATATACTCCTTAAGTTCGGCCTATTCAAGGTCCATACCGTCTCCCTAGATCATAGAACCGTTTATTCGTTTTGATCTGCATTTTCATATTTGATTAGTGGCATAAACAGTATACGCCTTACAATATTAGTGATCTGATAGAAGATCGCACTTTTAATGGAGTACAGGCGTTGAAGCCATGGAAGGACAAAGGACAGTCGCGTTGCCCAAGTGGAAGGATATCCCTTATGAACCATTGACACAGAGCTCATGGGCTGAACTTGTGTCGATAGAGACTCATGTTGCCAACTGACGCGGGTTCTTTTGAAATTCTGAAAGAGAGCACTTGCCGGAGAATTGGGAGGTAACCATACTCGATCATGAAACCCGTGAATTGGGAGGTAACCAACTGACGCGGTTCTAATGAAACTCGTGAATCGTGTTCTTCAGTTTCTGCCAATTCACAAGGATGTGAAATACGATGAGTCGGGTTTACCATCCTCCCTCATTAAAATTTATTTTCTTAAGCAATCTCATAATTCAGTTTTTCGGTTTTCTGTTGTTTCCTTAATCTTCACAATGCGACTCCATGGAGTGCCAGCCTAGCTTGAGAGTGGTGTAGATGATCTAGAGGCCATTTCAGATGTTTATGTATGAAGAGGTTCTGTTGTTTCCTTAATCTTCACAATTACTAAACGCTGTCGTTTTTTATTTCCAATTTATTGCCATGATAGAATTTAAGAAAACTAATGAAAATTCTAAAAAAAACTTTAGTTTTTAATGAAAAATGACAAATAAAGGTGTAGTGAAGAGTATCAAGGAATAGTAAAAATGTGGTTTTTCGTTAAAAGTGAACAGTACCGGGAGTGTTTCATTAAAATTCCCTAAAATTTATCATACGCATCAATTCCCAAATGGGCAATGTCTTAAAATGTAAAGTGTCCGTTGTGTGGTTCCAAGGGCCAAACATGATTGAATAGTGAAGTGAATACCAAACTATAGTGTGTGAAATTAATCGGAACATACCCGAATTCGAGATCCTCTCTGGATCTTGCAATTTGAAGTTGACGGACTGAGAAATCTTCATTTTAAATCCTATGGCCCTTGTTAGCCCTTCTCATTTTTACTTCACACAAATCAAGGGTCCGAATCTCTCTCCATCTATTGAACGGTATAGATTTCTCTATCTATTGGCTCTGGACTGTGAGATCTAAAGAGGATCTAAACCCAACCCACCCAAACCCAATTTGTGACAGTATCCATTGATAGACATTGGGTACCTTTCAAGCTGAGTCCACGACATAATGTGAGACCTATCTCTACCGTAAATGTTGGTGAGTGTTAGGATTCAATATCGCACGTTCGAAAGAATAACAATATCTTGGAATGGTGTAAAAGTTTCGAATACCCTTTTTGTTGAGAGCATGAATTTCATGTCGAGAAAGGAAAGTCTTGCCTAATAACGTATATGATCATGAATCTCTCCCTCTTATTACTAAATGATTTTTGAACGAATGTTCACTTTCTAATATAATATCAAAGATTCAAAGCAGACTATTCATGTGTTGAACCTAGTGTCCAATGTGTGGCATTATGTGAGTCTAGCACGTGAAAAACATTACATATATTGGGTGACATGAAGGGGTACGTATTGTTCTATTCATGGACTTTTAACAATTAGTAACGAAATGTCCACTACTACGGCTAGTTTGGAAATACTTTTAAAATGATTGAAAGCGCTTTTAGAGAAAATGATTTTGGATCCCAAAGGTACTTGGAATGCTTTTTGCAAGAAACACCAGTTTTGTGCTTATTCCAATAAGCACTTTAAGTGCTTATTCCAGAAAGCACTTTAAAAGTGTTATTTCAGGATTTACTTGCATTTTTACTAAAAAATTTGTTCCAAAAACATTTTCAGCCATTTAAAAGTACTTCCAAACGATCTCTAAGACAAAGTCCACAAAGTGGGCGATTTGTAGGAGGAAATTAGCACAAGGTCAATGTTGATACCGTGGGCAGAAGACATCATTCGGTACAACTTTAGGGGCAAGTTTTACCCATAAGCTCTTAAAAGTTAGTTTCGTCTATGAGCGTAAGGAGTCAAGTTGGGAGTAAATCTCAAACTAAAATACTTCAACTGAGCTCTGAACCGGACAAAATCTTACAATCGGTGATAGGACAAGTTTTTCTCCTGAACTGAGTTCAATTAATGGGTAAATTGTGCTATTTCTCCAATCCAACATAAGTTGAAGATATTTGATCGGATTACAACCATCCAAGTTGCATCCTTGTCCTTAAGCTATGGTGGAACTAATTTTGTTTTCCAATCTGCAATCATGATACAATTTACAATGCACATTAAGCAGTAACAAATAGAAAGTAGTAGGGTTCATCACTATACATCACATCATTAGCATATCTTCTAGGGCCATTTGTCTTGTCCCGGATTAAAAGTAAACGGCAAAAATTTTAATTATTTTGTTTTGAAATTAGAAACGAATGCAATGACATTCTTGGATTCATATAGTCAATTCCATTTAATAGGAAAATACTTTATTGTTGTTGTTTGTTTTGAAATTAACATTTATAGGTAGCTAACTGACGAGTGATTTAGACTATTCAATAGAGGGAGAGAGAGAGAAATTTAAACACTTGGTTTATGTAAAGTGTGTCGATGAGATTGACAAATAAGGATCATAAAATTTAAAATGAGTAGTCTAAATTAATCAGTCTGTAAGGTTCAAACTGCAAGATCTGGAAAATCTTGAAATGACAGTGACTAAGGTGGTGCATGACAACATGAACTGGGGCTCGCTAGATATAAATATTGTAAAATGGACTAGACAGCTTAACAAATTAAAGAGATGGATTGTCTGCCCTCTTATTTTTATACTCTTCATTCTTTTCTGTTTGTATGATCACCGTGAAATCACGTCAACATTTTATATTCTTATTACTTTTTATTTTATTATTTCTAACAAAAATTAATATAAATTATTAATGTAAATTCACCGTGATCACACATCATAGAAAGGCATGAAAAAATTATGAAAATGGAAGAGCAGACAATCCACCTCGACAAAATGTTTAGATTTGTGCAGTAAGAATTACTATCATGCATCAAATCCAAACCTCCACCACCAATTGGTTAGGTCATCTCAGCTCCGCCTTTTGTTTTCTTTATGTAAAAGATTCATAAATCTCATCATCTTCCTTTTGACTACACGTGAAAAGTTTGGTAAATGACACCTATATATGTCTCGGATAATTCTGCAGAACTCATCGATATTGCAGGTCTTGTAGTCATGCACGACGTGGATAACACATATCTTTGTCAACCACCAACTTGATCAACTATAGCATAATTAAAGATAATAAGAAGGTTGTTTTATTTTTAAAAGGCGACCAGTTAGCAGCTTCGTCACAACAGTTTATATTTTTTAGGCGAAAATTTTTATAGAGGCATTTCAGCATATGTTTTATCAGCACCAAGAATCGAACCAAGAATGTATCATGTGGAAGACGGGCCTAGAAGTTGTCCCCAACCACTGAGTTAAGGTATTAGATTAATGTTGTAGTCTTGTACTTATTCCAGTTGACTCCTTTTAGTTAAAATTCTAATAGAAAGTAAGTGAGGAGCGAGTTTAATTACGAAAAACTAAGATGAACAAATACTTAAGATAGTTGTCATACATAAGTGGACAAAGATGGATATTGATCTCACAATGCATCAATAATTAAGAGTCATACACTTGTGGACGACTGACTCAAATCGAGCTTGCGATACAATACTAGTCGCCCATACAAACATTTCCTTGGGCAATTGTCTCATCCTAACTATTCCTACACATGAAATCGTCCAGTTTTCTCTCTTTTGATGTTCGATCTTAAGTGTGACTGTTGTGTAACTGAGATATTTGACAAAATGCCTTAAAGATGATAAAACAACGAGTAATACTTGGAAGATTAAATTTGTAAACTAAATGATATAGAAGGTAATAATTAGGTTACTTAAGCGTTAATAAACATGTTCATTCCTATTAATAACACATCATTTAGTTTATAAATTTTATCTACAAATTTAATTTATCTAATGTTATCCCAAAACAAGATATGAAACTACGAACAACTAGCCAAAGTACCATGCGAACTTTGTCCCGTTTTGAAAAAGGATATCTTGAGGATCCGTCACTAGGGTTTTTATGGGTGCAAAGTTGTATTTTCCACTTGTTTTATACAGGCATGCATCGGTACGTGTACAGTGTACTTGACGTGTCAACCGGTCAAGTATGGTCCATCAACGCTATATAGCATAGCTCTTGCCCTCGGTACACGTGTCAGCATGTGGCTTCAGAGATCTCAGGGCCTCGTCCCAATGCCGAAATAGATGGTGTTATCCATACTTATTTCATACTTTTTACACACTTTTATCGATTTATATAATTTGTTTCACTGCGAATCATTCGATTCGATAATTAAAAATTAAAAAATATGTAAAACGTAAAAATAAATGTGTGGATAATACCGAAAAGACAAAAAATGAATGTGTGACTTCTTTTTATTATTTTTTGAATAAAAACATGCTGCATGCAATTGTTGTTGTTTTCTGCAGACTGCAAACTGCAAACGCATAACCGTGAAACTGAATTTCCAGAATTGTCACTAAAGGCCTAAGGTCACGTTCCCAATCAATTAGGTAAAAGTGCAGGCGATGGCACGATGCAATGAACCGTCGTGCAAACTGGGATGCCAGACCTTTTTAATAGTTTTCATATCATCACTTTTACTTAGGGGTGTAGTTAAACTAAGGATTGTAGTCAAACTCGGATTTGAGAGGATTTTAAAATTTTAGTGTAGCCAATTAAAAGATTTTAAAGGATTTTAGAATCCATTCAAATCCAGGTGTATTCAATTAAAGGATTTTATAATCCTTTAAAATCTAGGCGTAGTCAATTAAAAGATTTTAAAGGACTTTAAAATCCATCCAAATCTAAGTGTATTAAAAAAAAATTAAGATTTTGGAGGATTTCAATAAGTTGTTGATTTTGTAGGATTTGAGAGCCAAAAGTATATATAACCAAGACTAAAAAAAATCCTACCTCACCTCCTAGAGCGGTAAGATAATTAAGAGCTTAGGACTTTTGTGGCTAACTCAGGGCTTATATAAAGGGGCTAAATACCCTTACAAGTAGTTGAGGGAAAAATAGTGCTCTTATAATCCACATCAAATATATTAGATCACTGAACCACTAAATCCTTTTCAAAATATAATTTACATCATCATACTGGATTTTGTTCATTCCCCAATTTGAGCGTTAATAGAACTTCTACCTGAATCATAACTGACACACCCTGACCGAAATCAAGGCGTGCTGGGCGTCACGCCTTGATTTCGATCAGGGTGTTTCAGTTTGGTATCAGAGCTAATCCTTGGTCGGATGTGTGCTGACGAGAATGTCGGGCCCTTAAGGGAGGTGGATTCTGAGATCCCACATCGCTAAGGGGAATGGATCATGTGATCCTTATATGTATATTCTCATCTCTACCTAGCACGAGGCCTTTTGGGAGTTCACTGGCTTCGGATTCTACGGTAACTCCGAAGTTAAGCGAGTAGCGCACAAGAGCACTCCCATGATGGGTGACCCACTGGGAAGTTCTCGTGTGAATTCCCAGAAACAAAACCATGAGGGCGTGGTCGGGTCCCAAAGCGGACAATAA